GCAGGAATAAAATAAATAAATAAATGAATGAATAAATAAATAAAAAACCAACCAAAAAAAACCAAAAAAATAAAAAATCTACAAAAAAACCAACAAAACTACAAAAAAACACAAAACAGAACAAAACAAACAAACAACAACAAAAAAAAAAACCACACACACAAAAAAAGTCAACCTGCATTAAATAATGTTACTTATAGAAAAAAAGTAATACTGTGATTTTAAACCAAATATGTTATTAATCAGAGGTCAGCTTGTAATCACTAGGAGCTGCCGTTTCATTATTTTCCAGATATTATTGTTCTAGTTATCCCTTAGAAAATGAGTTTAGGTTAGCTGAGGCTTTGAACCCAATACTCTTATTAAAAATGGAAAAAAAAAAAAAAAAAAAAAAAAGGGAAAAAAAAGGGAAAAAAAAATTAGTTTAAGCTAAAGGGGCAAATATAATAGCAGATATCTGTTACCAAGCAAGGAAGAGATCTAGCTGGAAAACAAATGCCACTAATAAGAGTGCAATCAGTTTTCACCTCTATTTTTGAATGTTGATTTCTAATAGATTGTTTATCCTTGTGTTTTCCCTCCATTTTCTTCTCTTTCTTCTCCTCTTCAAAAAGAACCCTGACAAGCTTCTATCAATAACCTTGTTGGAGTTGCTGTTGCAGTGAGGGTCACTCTTGGACACAGAAATTACTTTCAGGGCAAGCAGGTATGATTTGCTGAATGGTTAAAAAATATAGGCAAGTAGGAAGGACACAGCAAAAGTATGGAGTTCATTTCTACTCACTTTTATTAACTCCATTATTTGGGGCAAGAGAGACAAGGCTGATGCAAAACCCATCTATAAAGACAAGTGGGTTACAGCCATAGTGTGCTTGACTATTTGATATCAAGGTTCATATAGCCAGCAACAGCCTTTAAGTCTTTGACTAGTAATGAACAAGGATGCTGTCAGATCTGGAGCAGTCACATCCGCTCAGACAGAAGCAAATGGCCTCTTTTGCACTGAATTCCTATCAGTTTAGTCAGGGTCATTTTGCCTCTTTTGATTTTTGTTGTGTGTTGAGTTGGCACAGCATAGACTCAGGATTGATGTGGAAAACAAATGTTTTTCCTAGACTCTGGGGATTCTGAAAATGAGAACATATGTTCTACAGGTATTACTGGACTCTAAATAAGAGCCATGTCAAGAGAAAAAGAATTTCAGCCAAACTACACTCATCCTTTGGGCCACATCCTGGTCCCAGATAAATTAAGAGAAATAAGTCAAGGAAATATTGTGAGATGTAAACCTGAGGAACTGAAGCCCCGACTCAGTAAATTGTTCAAGCATATGCTTATGCTAATCCCAGCAAAAGTTATCTTCAGCATGTGCTAGACTCCCACTGACGCATCCAGCGCATGCATAAACTTAAGCATGCACTTAAGAGTTTTGCTGAACAAGGTGTCCTATTGATTTGAGACCTGAAAGCAAAGTCTAGTAGATGAAGCAGTCTATCACCATGATGAAAATCAGTGAGTTGCTCCCACATCATATTAGTAAGAATATGGGTGAGTCTACCTGACTACCAGATTCAGCAGAAAAATAACAAAAAGGCCTTTGTACAGGAAGAAGATGGAGACAAACTTGTACAATAGGATATTAGTAGTAGAATGAAAAAGGCTAGTAAACTAGCACAGCTTTGCTCTGTGTGGTGGCTGAATTAGCACTGCTTATCTAAGAAGTCTGTGGGAGAGGGCAAAGTTTGTCAAATACATACTGTCTGAATATAAGTTCCCTTTGCCGTTTATTCCCTAGCTAGCATGCACATGAACACACTTTGCCTTTGCAGTCCAAAACTAAAGCTCTCTATGAATTCTAGATACCATACACTCATTTTCATCCTTTTAGTCATGCCTATTATCTCCAATCCCATGCAGCAGAACATCCACCTCCCCAGTACCTCTGCCACTCAGTAATACAGAAGCCAGTTGGGCTTTCCTGATGCAGACCACCGGTGTCCCAAGGATTTGCCCTGTTGAGTTTCCAGAGGCACTTGAATTTCTGTCCTTCCAGTAAGGTCTCTGATGCGATAAAGATCTTAGAGGCCAGACAAGGGGAAAAACAAACAAACAACAACAACAACAACAAAAAACGATAGCAAAAGAACAAGAGATTTGTCCCAAAATCACCCATCTTAGTGGCAGAATAGAGATTATAACACAGGTCTTCTGTAAACTCCTCCAGTATAGATCACCCACAAGGCCAGCTCTCATCAAAGTGTCTGTGATAGCCCAGAAAGTTAATAAGGATGGAAAGGGAACTTGCCTGGAAGTGGAGTAAATTATTTGACTACTAACATTGTTATTTTAGAGGGCCAGTATAAAACAAAGCAACAATTGCATGCTTGGGAGCTGTATGTGTGAGATTTAGTCAGTGTGGGTCTAGGGGAAAATGTCACATCTCTTCTGCTGCAGTGCCTCAACATCGAAGTGCTGTGCAGTTGCTGCTCCTCCTCTCCCCAGCACATATAGTAATGTGTTACAGGGTAAGCATGAAATTAGGCTGGGGACTTCACATGGACCTAAGAACAAGAATACACAATTGGGGATATGGCTGCCTAAGCCCTTAGGTCTTTGGGGAGAATCCAGCTTACAGCACAATTCATGCAACAGTGAATTATGCCCTGGCTTGTCACTCAGAAGTGGGAGCAGGATGTGTCCCCTCACCTCTGGACTTGCATTTAGCACACTGTGAGGGTGCTCCATGTTAGTCAAGTCCACACCCTGGAGTTAGTGAGTCTACATGGCCATGGCAGGCTGCAGCCAGCTCCTGCTGACCCTGGGGCTGCAGACTGCAGCAGCAGGGAGCAGAGCCAGCAAGTGCCTATGGGAAAGGCCAGCTCCCCTGTTGGGGATATTTGCTTCATTACCCAGACCTCTGAACTAGGCAGTCCCAACACCGTTGGGCCATCACTGTGTTACTCTTGCCAGCTGAAAGGAGAAATGTACTTAGAAGAGGGGGGAATATTCCAGTAGTGGCAGAGTTGTTCAGATTGACCTGGTTTCTTTCCATGTCTTTTAACTTGAGCTGTGAGTTTTCCCTATGTATGTGTTTATATGCAGGAATTATTCCAGGACAAAAGGCTTCCTTCAGGGGTGTATAGCTGAAGTACATTGTGCACAACCTGGTACAGCCTGTCCGTTCAGCTGGTATAAATCATTACAGCTCTATAGAGATTCTCATGTAACAGAGAAATGCCTTCCCTTGGCCCAGCTGTTCTGTTCCTCACTTGAGGCACCAAAACACCCCCAGGTTTAAGAGATCGATCACTGCCTTTATCAGGGAAATAGGAAAGCTCCTTCTCTTTCTAGTCCTCCCGAACAGCAGCATGCATCTCCCTGCTTCTCTCACACACATTGCAGTCTCCTGAGCATCCAGGATAGCAAACTTGTGTCCCCTCAAAGGACATACTTCTCAGCCTGTTGAACACTTCTTGGCCCTGCAGTGTGGCTACTTACCATCAGCTGGGACTTACTTCTAGTAAGAAAATACGCACCTATGAAATGCTGCAGAGAAGGGCAGACAAAGAACATGGCCAATTATCATCATTTGTAATTCTCTAATCTCTTGTAAATACATCTTGTACATACTTGGATGTTTTCATCATTTACTGTCTTTATGGATTATGTGTTAAATGAGACTCTTAGTTTATTGTGTAACACTGTAAATAACATAACGTCCTTTATTATTTATGCATAGGCATCTAACACGCGGAGAGAGTTATCCTCATATTATTTTAAGATCTATGTCAAAAATATGTTGCATTTTTCTTTTTGCTTTGAAAAAAAAATTGTAATATATCCTCTTTTTCCCCTCTTTTCCTTTAAAAGAAAAATGAATGCTAATTTATTGTTCAGGAGAGAAAGGGGATGTAACTGAAAGGCAAACTGTTCAAAGAACATGCTATGGAAGCCACAAGCTACTGATAAACTAAAGAATTTATTATCCCAAATACAGCAATAAGTAATTGTTGATTTATTAAGGTTTTGTTATTCATTTTCAGTAAAAGAGGTGCTGGATTAAATTGTTTATGTCTTGTACTGGCCCAGCTGCTCAGCAGACTGTGTCAGGTCATTAGCCGACATCTTTCTGGATACAAATGCTGTTATAAAGGTCTTGTTCTGTCCCTGTGGGCCACTGTTCCATGAGCTTTCTGACTTATCCCTATGGATGTGTCTGGCAGACACTCTTGTTCCTAGGTACAGTATTTTTAGTTTCTTAAATTAGAATTGCTACCTTTACCCTGACCGTTACTACCCAAGGTGGAAGGGGGCTTGCGGGGCGGGGGCAGAAATGACACAGTCTTGGGGCTGTGGGAGCCTGCTCTACAAAAATGTCACCTCACTGGTCAGTAACAGTCAATAAAGCAAATCAGAAACCAGGAATTATTAGATGACATCACCATACCCCTGTATACATTAATTATTTGTGAAACTCTTAAATACATTTTGTAGTCCTGGTCTTCTTGTCTCAGAAAAGAAATGGTATAATGGGGAAGACTTTGGAGGGCAACATGACTGAACAAATATCTGGAGCCAGTGAGGTTCAGGGGTCACTGAGTAGGCTGGATCCCATTAGTCTGGAAGAAAAGACAGCTGAGGGGAGATACCACAAAGGTCGATGGAAATATAATTATCTTGTAGAAGGTAGAAAAAGACTGGCTGTTCAGTACCTCTGAATACAAGAAATTGGATTATCAATCAAAACTTCTGGGCACCATATTCAGAAGG